ACAACATTTTATTTTTTGTGGGGTCCTTGACAACTAGATATTGTACATAGTTGTATGTAGATGTCTTGTTGTCCTGATTCCTTCATAGTTGAACTAAATGAAATTTCGTCATTTTGAAGTTGAACCTTGAAATCGAAAATATAAATCTAGTTGGTCACATTAATTTCTACATTACATCGGTTTTTAAGAAGTTTTGATAGGAAAATATTCAGGAAATAATAGTTTCACTACTTATTGCATCAATATAGGTCATCATGAACTAAATGTTCCTTGTTACACAAAGAGTGATTTGTGTAAAAACAAGTTTATGATCAAATAAATTATTAAAAATTTATATATTATATTTGAAAATAGAAAATGTAAAAAAATATTAAAGTTTAAAGTTTTAAATATTAAAAATCACTTGTTACGATTTCATTTTTAAAATGGCATAGATATAATTTTAATTTGAAAAATCACCTGTATTCATCAAGTTACATACATTTGATGTGATGTATTAAAGAACTCGGAAAGTTGGCTGCGAGGAAGATCTTAGAACTTGATCTGAATGAGCATGCAGCTTATATACAGCTCTCAAACATATACGCTAGTGCAGGTTTTCAATGTCCAAAATGGTCGAATCACCAATCCAGCCATCATGATTCCACAGGTGAGTAACAGTCAAAACAGATATATAAGAGTTAATTGCTCATCATATTCTTTATCATTCCATTTCAAAGCTTTAAGCCTAGCATCTTGGCATTGAGGCCTTGATACACTAATCTTCCATTTTTCCATCGTTCCTGTAGTCGTAATCTCCTCCAAGGAAGCAGCTAAAGAAGTTCTCAAGACTCATGACCTAGAGACTTGCACCCGACCTAGGATGGTCACGTGGATTTTATCGCTTTTCCGGAAGAGAAACATTCACACACAAAACCCAGAAGGGAGAAGGAAAAAAATAGCTTGTAGTTTGTAGTTCACCTCTATCAGCCTCTAGGCTCTGTTTGTTTGTGACCTCAGTTCCATGACTCATTAAAACTTGGCAAAATACAAGCTGATGGTTTTCATTTGCATTGATGTCATTATCTCTGTGTAGGTATTCAATACATATGGTTTGATGGGTTGGCTTTAGCTCGCAGTGGATGATCGGATCTGGTTTACATTCATGGAGGTAGTTCATGCCTCTAGCAATATCAAGAGCAAATCTCAGAGCTTTTCACTCTGACGTTTTGAAAATTCCTCTATTTTTCTTTTTCTTTCTTTGCATTATTGGTGTCTTTTCTCCGTTGTACCCTTGAGCTTTTATGGCTTGTGACGGTGACACTGTTGAAAAGTCACATTTAATTTAGCCCCTTGATTTCTTTACCCTTTTGACCAAAGGAGCATTGTTTAAAGCATCGACTGTTTCATGATATCAATGTTTGTAAGAGCATCGACCCATGTTTGTGACCATAATCCGACATCGTTTTGACTTTTACGAGCTAGATGGCTTTGTCGTAGCCATTACCATGACACAAGCACAAGCATTTCGCTTGTCAAAAGACAATTCATGATCAGTCAGGGGCTTTCAAGGCTCTTATTCTAAAACGATGTCGTATATCGCCACAATTATGTCCATTCCGTTTCCATCTACTTTCACTCTCAAAGCTCCGGTGAGTGATACTTGCAGTGTCCCTGAGGTTGGTCTCTGGAAAGTCGCCTGGTAAAGAGAAATAAATTATACAACTACTGATTAATATTACATGTGTAAAGTTCGCCAAAAACACCAATTATGTAAAGAGTGACAAAGCCAATGAAGGAAGAGTGAGCCACATTATTCTGTTATGTCAAGAACTCATTGATTTTGTGACCAGATAATCTTATAACACAATATCAACAAGAACATGTCGTTGAACCAAAATTTCTCATAGATGTTGTTTAGTCAAGGTTCACCAATAGTTGCAAATTCTAATGCTATAGAAGCTTCCTGCATTCATAAACCTACCTCCCTGTCATATACCCGATAACTATCTAGAAAGCAACCACATTAACCACACTTTTAGCAGAGACAAAACCCCTACAAAAGCAATGTACTCATAAATGTCTAATGAATATGTTGAGACAGAGAAAGACCATCAGCGACCAGAATATAACCCCTGTATCTAAAGAGAACTCTTCGATTTACTATACTAAACATTCACAAGACTCACGGGCAAGCGATACTGCAAATCATATTCATAGAACACATTGTTCTAACACAGAATCATATACAAGAACATGTTCATGTTCTTGAATCTGCATGCAAGAAGCAAAATTCATAACTGATGTTAGATTCACTTGGATTCCTATACACTTAGATTGAAATCACATAAACAAGAGCTGAAATCTATCATAAATCTAATTCCTCCACATCAAGATCATCATCACAATCATCTAAAATATTAAGAAAACTCACCCGGAAAGCTGGAGAAGGAAACCTAGGCGCTTCGGAGATTGATTTTAACAGCGTCTCTTCCTCGTTTCCGATCAATTGAGAACGGCCTTGAACTACAAGCTGCGGAGTAAACATCGTACCCAGATTCAACGCCTCTACATACGCCTTTTGCCTCACCGTCCATTGGCTCGATCCATACGGTCTTCTCTTCCGAGAGTTGTTCTAATTGTTCCCTCAATGTAGCAAGGCTCAGTGAAGCATAGACAACTTTGGCAACTTTTAAGTGTTATTTGAGTAAGACACCTCTCCACGGGTGCTATCTAAGTAATTAAGTCACTTTAGGTGTTATTTGAACACATTTCCTCTTTTGGTTTTCACCTTTTTACTCTTCTTTTCACTAATCAGACTCTCACATGTATTTTTCATCTTGGTCTCTTAGCTAGCTTCTACATTATGTTTAGGGTTCGATTATCAAAGAATTAATACAAATATTTACAGATTAATAGAAGCAAGTTTAATTATGAAGATATTTAGTGTGGTGCATGTAATACTATTCGTCGTTGTCCAATATATTAAAAATAAAATTTTAATTATAAATCTGATGTAGGTAGAACTGTCTATTATGGATTTTTTGGTTGGAGGTAAAATCGTTAGTTGTAAAACTATTTAGAGAACCGCTCACCATGAATAATTGTATAAATTAAAATATTTTCAAATGATAAGAAAATTAAAATCATCGTTGTTGATTATCGAATCACACAAGTACGAATAAGAACACGGGATCTCAAGGGAAGAAAGAAGAATCTCTTATTAAAGGACGAGCCGACGATTACAATGGACGAGCCGGATTATTAAATCAATGAGCCGAGCCGCAAAGTTTTCTGAAACGGTTATTTCGGGATCCCTTTCCAATCATTCTACTTTCCTTTTTATAAGGTACAGGCGTAGGGTACCCTGTACCGTTGAAATGTCCTTTTTGCCCTTATGGTCAGTGCTTCAATTTGTATTGGACTTGGGCCTTTTGCTGTACCAAGTTTTTACCGGACCGGGCTCTTAAAAATCATTTCTTCGGCCCGTCACATCGATCTGGAGGCCCAGAGGGGGATTTTTGGGCCCAAGCCCAAAGTTCACCATCAACCATCGTTGTAACAAATAACAAAAATCACACTCTAATTTTGATTTAAATAGAAAACTCATGGCGTCTGTGTTCCTTAGATTCAAATTTTAATTTATTTTTGTGGTGGAAGAGATCAAATTTAAAGTAAAAGGTTTTCTCGTTAATGGTGATCTTTTGATGAAACAAGTATCAACTGCTGCATGTAAAACCTTTTTTTTTTTTTTTTACTACAAGTGATGTATTCTTGATCAATTTTTGGAGTCTCTATGAGATTATCCACAACTTTATTTGTAGAATAACCAATGGAAGATCTTGAAACTTCAGAAGATGGTAAATTTATCAATAGTTTAAATTTTCATTTTTAAGAATGTTTTAATTTGTTTAGAAACTAACAAGTTATTTTTATGTTTTGCAGTAGAACTGAAATATGGTGTAAAAGTGTATCTATTCCAATGAAAGAATACAAGTATTTACATAAGAGAGACTTGTCTATCCGAGATAAGACCGTATCTTAGTAAATCTAGATATATAGAATATTAACATATATCCTAATCCAATTTGAACTTTCCTCCAAATAGTAATTCTATGAAAAATGAACCAATTTTACTTTCTAAAGATAAATTAGGGTAGTGTTTATTTAACTAGAGAAAAAAACAGAGAGAGAGATGGTGGCAGATTTATTCATGATCCGTGATTGAGTGCAAAGACAAATTATAATAATACTGTTTTTGTCGTAAATAATAATGACAAAAAAAATCACCACAAATAAAATAAAATAATCATTAATTCACTATTAAGTCAACTCCCTGGCTTCCCCACCACCGCACGTTCGTCTCTCTGTCCACTCATTGACTCCATCCCCAACCTTTTCTACTCTATCGTGCGCCTACATTCCTTGGTGCTAACTTACTTTCCACCTCATTTCACTAACGTACGCTGCTCTCCTTTTATATCATTACCTTATAATTTTTCTATATCATTTTCTTAAAAGATTATTTCTTTTTCCCAACTTGCTAATGTATTCTTTTATTGTTGTCCTTATCACAAAGTGTCAATGACATCACACTTTTTCCACCGTCAAATACAACTTTTCTATTTTTGCAAATACATATTTTCAAATTTGGAATTAATATTTTTCCTCTGCAAAGTCAAATAATTTTACATTAGAAGTTAAACAATCTTTTGTCAACTAACTTGAAAATTTCAACTAGGTCATTTATATAATAAAAAAAAAAACGTTGACAAAAAAACTGTAGTTAAGCGTTTATTAATTACCACACACCAAAAACCAAAAATACCTTTTAATTTGTTTTTGTCTTGACATTATATTATACACGTGGCAGCTGGAATTATGTTAAAATAAGTCGTCGGTGGGCCCGACCCAATACAAACAGTTAGAATAAGATGCCAAATAGTCAGAGCTGATATTACAAAACGGCATCGTTTTAGACCGAATCCAGTTCTGTATATATATTATGTAAAAGATTTATACGTGTGCTTTGTGTTTGAAAGAAAAACACACACACATGTTCTTCGTTGCTGCTTCGTTGGGTTAAAAACTTTTTTTTTTTTTTTCTTGCTTTTGCGAAGTCAAAGATAAAAAAAATAAACAAGGTTTGTTTCCTTTGTTCGATGCTGTTTCGTTTTTGTTTCTCAGATCTGTATGTTCTTGATTTGTTTCTATGTGTTTGTTCTCTAATTCTGTGTTTTGATTAAATTGACCAACTCTGATTATGATTCATGACTCTTTATCTTTTTATTTTAGTTAAAATTATTCTTTGGATTTGTAAGTCGACTTAAGAGTGGAAATTGGAAACATTTCTGTCTTTGACCAGTGAATAGAAATTGTTTTTAGTTTGTTTTCTTCGATCCAAAACAATAGAGTAGTTAGGTTTTGCTTTGCAAGAATCTGTCGAAATTTTATGATCTGCTTGTAAATAAGTAAAAGAGTGTAGAAACATAAACACTTTTGGGTTTTGCAAAGTACATAAAAACAGTAAGCCAACAATAATGATTGCTAAAAATTCTTGTAATTATCATAATCTGCTGTTAAATAATGGTATTAAGTGGTAATTGGTTTCAGCAGAATGGAGAATCTACCTCCTGGTTATCGTCCCAATGTTGGTGTTTGTCTAATCAACTCGGATAATCTGGTAACATTTCATCATTTTATTAAGTTCTCTGATTAATTTACTGTTTTTGCCACTGGTAATAGTACTAAGTTTATTGACCATGATTATAATTCACAGGTATTTGTAGCTTCGAGATTGAATGTTCCTGGAGCATGGCAGATGCCTCAGGTGTGTTTTAATCACTCACTTTGACATGAAGTTTTGCGAGTTTTCGACATTTTTTCTCTGTTTCTATGTCTTTTATTGGCCACAAAGCCGATGATTCAAATGGTGTTGTACTTTTGTTGTTTAGAGAAAACGTAGAAAATTATCAATGTTTAACACCATTCTAATGAAAAAGATGATCAAGAATTTGATAAAGAATCTTTTCTAGATTGGTGAAGTAATCAACAGTTTCAAAGTATTGAAAGAGTCTTGAGACTGTTTTCTCTGCTTTGCATTTATCTTGGGTTTGTATAGCTCACTAAACTGAGGATATTACAGGGAGGCATTGAAGATGGGGAAGATCCAAAGTCAGCAGCCATGAGAGAGTTACAAGAAGAGACTGGTGTCGTTTCAGCTGAAATCGTCTCTGAGGTCACTACGTTTAATCAACACTTGATACAACAAACCGATATGAATCAGAATATTTACCAATTATTCTCTCTGGTTCTTTTGTTGTCTAAACAGGTTCCAAATTGGTTGACATATGACTTCCCACCTGCAGTAAAAGCAAAGGTTAACCGTCTTTGGGGCGGTGAATGGCATGGTCAAGCTCAGAAATGGTAAATCTACGATACCACCTAATTTCGCAAAAGAAGAGAATGTGGCTCATTGTTCTGAAACTTAATGAATCCCACAGGTTTTTAGTGAGACTGAGAAACGATGAGGACGAAAAAGAGATCAATCTAGCGAACAACGAAGCGGATTCAGAGTTTGCGGAGTGGAAATGGGCGAAACCGGAAGAAGTGATAGAGCAAGCAGTGGATTACAAAAGGCCAACCTATGAAGAAGTCATCAAGACTTTTGGTTCCATCTTGAACGATACAGGAAGAGCTTCTAAATGTAAATCAGCCAAGTGGTAATATAAGAAACCAAGAATCAATGTTTGTCTTTTTATTATTTTTTGTTAACTGTTGTTTTTCTTTTTTTGGGGGGTTCTTTTTAGTAGAACCCTTTTGGAATGCAAAAAGCTTTCTCTAGGTGTTTATTACTTTTCATTTTTGTAAATTGGTTATTGGTACTAGAAGGTTTTTTGGTTTTATTTTAACGTGGAGTTATTGTAATAAAGTCGTTGTTTGGATTCAGAAAGAAATGAGTTGTGTATGTGTTTATAACTAAGTGTAAAGAAAATTCTAAGGTTAAAATTTATTGTAATTAGCACCATGAATATAAAGATCTTTGTTTGGGATTGAAGTGGGAGATAAAATTAACAAACAAACATTCTGAGTTACAAAACCGTATTCCAAGACACAACAAAGGAGACAAACTTTAACATAAACAAACCATCTTAGACAAATTCTTTAAGAACTAAACTAAGGAGAAAGGAATTGGAGAGGTAAATGATAATTAACGGTTCATTGGATAAATATGAATTCACTGGCAAAGCTGCTCGACAGCGGTCACGATCTGAGCCGGTTGAACCACTGTCCACTCCTCCAGTGTACCAGCGTATGGTGTAGGGACGTCTTGAGAAGATAAACACATCACCGGAGAATCTAAGTAGTCATGAAAGTTCTCGTTGATAGCAGCTGTAAGACTTGCCCCAATCCCACCGGTTCTCATACACTCCTCCACGATCAAAACCCGGTGTGTTTTCTTTACTGAGTTTCCGATTGTGTGAAGGTCAAACGGTTTCAGTGACCTGATGTCGATAACCTCAGGGTCATACCCTTTGTTCACCAGAGTTTTTGCTGCCTGCATCACATGGTACCTCATCCGCGAGTATGTGAGGATGGTAATGTGCTCACCAGGTCTGACCATCTCAGCTTCTTCAAGGTTACAGATGTAATCTTCATCCGGGATTTTCTCCTTGAGATTGTAAAGCAGAACATGTTCGAACAGAATCACGGGGTTCTCGCTTCTTATCGCAGCTTTCATCAATCCTTTGGCGTTGTAAGGAGTAGAGCAAGCAACCATCTGGATCCCAGGGATGGACTGGAAGTAAGATTCTAACCGCTGTGAATGCTCAGCGCCAAGCTGACGTCCCACTCCACCAGGCCCACGGATGACAACCGGGATCGTGAACTGACCACCCGATGTGTAGTGAAGCATTCCACAGTTGTTAGAGATTTGGTTGAAGGCGAGGAGGAGGAAACCCATGTTCATACCTTCAATGACGGGTCTTAGACCAGTCATGGCGGCTCCAATGCCCATACCGGTGAATGCATTTTCACAAATAGGAGTGTCGAGAACCCTGAGGTCGCCGAATTTATCAGCAAGACCTTTGGTTACCTTGTAAGAGCCTCCGTAATGGCCAACATCTTCACCCATAACACAGACATGTGGATCTCTGTCCATTTCTTCTTCCAGACCTTCCTGAAGAGCCTCGAAAAGCAATAGTTCATGTCTGCAAATTTTCATAAGATAAAAATTGGTTAAACTTTGTGCTGAGACAGAGAAGGCATCAACATGACATTGATAAAATGAGCATAGAACTTTAATGGTTGAGAAAGAAATGTGCTATTTGTGATTGTGCCGATGAACAGATGAAAGAAAATGCATAACTGAAATCATCATGGATAGCTTATGTGAAAGTAACATTGTATCTAACCAACTTTGAATCCCATTAACATGTAACAAAAATATTGGAACACTTGACAAGTATTAGCAATCAATGTTTTCAAAACAAACAAGGCAAAGGCAAGGGAAACCAAAGGCATTGAGAGATTTATTTGTACTAGACTACTAGCAGTATATAAATCCTTCAATCAGCAAGCCATGCTTATGTTCAAGAGGCAAGAGCCCAAAAGAGAAATCGAAATCGAATTTGCAAAGCTAAAAAGTGCAAAACATACCCAGTGCTCGCAGATGTGTCCGCCTCCTTCGTCTACAAATCAGAAAACAAAACCGTAAATCATTAGAGATTAGATTACTAGAAGGAGAAACCCTAAAAAAAAAAAAAAATCGGAGACAAAGACATTACCGCAACAGCATTTGGAATCAATTTCTGAGAGTGACGAACTCTGAGTCCAGAAACAAAATTCTTCTTCTTACTCGCATCAGATCCAGCCACTATATATCTCTGGCTCCTCACTGCATCAAAATCAAACAACGAAAAACTGCTTTAAGATCTCACAAATCCATCTGAATAGAAGCGAATTCGAAATCAGAGAATGCAGATCGATCGTCAATCAAAATTCGAACCTGAAAGATTTGTGCGAGAAGGAGCTACGAGTATCTTGGAATCGATGGAATTAAACGTCGATAACGTCGTCGTAGCAGCTCCAGCTCCATGGATTATCGAAGACATTTTTGCACAGAGCTCGGGACAATTTGGCCGGTTTACAATATATATACAAGTGTATATAAACTGAAAAGGCGATACAGTGACAAGCGGAGAAATCGAAGAATTACAAAAAATAAAAAAGAGAGAAATTATGAAATCGAATTGGTTTTGATTTTATTAGTATTAAAAAAAATCTGAATTATGTGTATTGTTGTTGTGCAATCAAATCCACATGTTAACATTGTTTTCATCGCCATGCGATACTTCTGATCCCATGTGGCTTCTCTATTGTATAACAACCAATGTAAATATTACACGTGTTGGTTCACTAACTAGATTAACACGTGTACGTATATGATTTATAGAACGTATAGTACTCAATGAACAAGCTTGCAGAGTATCACTGGGTTCGCTTAACCACCTGGACCAACTAAATACATTTAACTGAGATTTGAGGTTTCACTGATCTAGGTATTGATGGGCCTCAAATGTCTTGGCCCAGTAATAAATACATCAGTTTTTATAGGTGCTTATAAGGAATCCAGTAGGGAAAATTTTCGTCAAAAAAGAGACAAATCTTCGTAAGCAAAATTTAACGTAATTAGACTATTAGAGCATCATGTGTAACGAGGCTCTCACCAATGTGACAACATTATTTTTAGTGCATTTTAAACTCTAATTAGTAATACGCATAATGGTAAAATAGTGTTTTCTAATGTAATTATACAAAATTTTACCAATCAAGAAAATTTACATAATGTTTTACCAAAATGCAAAAACGCATGATTTTCACTGGATATTTCTTGGTGGTCTAACCAGAGGAGCGGCTAATCTTATTCTCTTACTAGTGTCATTCTCATACGGTAAGGGTTTTCTAGTATTTCCTAATTGTTGATCCATAGAAAATTTAAAGAAATTAGTTTTTAACATCTTCTTTCACGTGTTTGTCTCGTTCGTCTTCCACTATCATATTATGCAAAATTATACATGACATGATAAAAGAAAGTAAAATTAGGCTCTCTCTCTCTCTCTAACTCTCTCTCCCTTCTCTCTAAGTTCAGATCGTTTTTCCGTTTTGCCTCTCCGGCATGCCCTTCCGGCGCCGGAGAGGGCTTTTCTCCTTAGCCTCTGTTAGCTTTTCCTGTCGCCGTTCTCTTCTCCCGTGGTGAGGCTCTGTTGTGGTGCCGTTCTGGTTTCTCTCTTGTGGTGGTTTCCGGTGAGTTTTTCCGGCGCGTGGCGCGTCGAACTGCCTGGTGGTGGTCTCTGGTGGCGGCTTGGTGTCGGTGTTTGTGCACGGCGTCGATGCCGTGGCCAAATCTGGCGGATCTGGGTTGGCGGTTTCTTCGCGTGTTGGTGGATCTCCGGTGGGTTGGTTGGCTTTGGTGAGTTGTGGGTTCTGGGCTTCGCTTCGGTTTAGTTCCAGTGGTCGGCTTCTGGTGAGACTCTAGCCGGATTTGCAGATCTTCTCCCTCCAGACGGTGTCTTGCGCCTTGCTTGTCGGAGTCTGGTTTGTGCGTCAGGTATGGTGGGATTGAGCTTTATTTGCAGGTTCTGAGGTTGCTAAAGCAAGGCAGGGGTGAGCAATTGTTTCTGTCCCCGGTAGCGGAGGAGTGGTATTTTTGAAACTTTGGGTGTCTTTTGACTTAATACTTTCCAAGTTTCAACTATTTTTTGAATTTGTAATGGTATGATGACTAATATGTGATGTTGCATTGCATACTTGCATAATTGCATTTGAATTTTGCATTATAATTCTATTGTTTTTTCGGTTCCAAAAATATCCGAAACAGTTTGGTTCCTATTCGGTTCCAATATATTACCCGAACCGAACCGAACCGAATAGGAACCGAACCAAAACCGAACTGATATTGATTTGGTTCCAATATAGTTCCTAAATCTCAGAACCAAAATACTTGGAACCGAATGATTCGGTTCTAGAACTGAACCGAACCGAATACCCAAACGCCCAAGCCTAATCACGACTATGGGCTTGACTGGTTTAATCGCAGCTGTTGCGGTTGCGGTTGTGGGAGTTTGCGGAAGCGGGCGGTTGCGGTTTCAAGCGTTTTTTAGCGTTTTGACCGACTGGTTTAGCGGTTGAAAACGGGTGCGTTTGCGGGAGATTTACGACTGGTTGATCAGCGGGTACGATAGCGGTTAAACCAAAATTTACCAAAATAAATTTAATATATGATTATAAAAAATTATAAAACACCAGAAACTATAGTTATGAAAAGTATAAATTTTTTAAAAATGATTAATGATTAAAAGCCATAAATAATTATTCATATAAATTTTTATATTGAAAACAAAAATAATTATTTATATTAGAAAATTAAAGTTAAATAATAATTATTTTTTAGAATTAACGTGAATATAAATCAGACATGATGATATATATTTTAATTTATTTATTTTCCTTTTTTAGTTTATTTCCTTTTTTACACCAACCGCAACCGCCCGCAACCGTAAACGCTTGCGGGAAGGAGCTTTTGAAATCCAGCGATTTCGAGCGGTTCGAAGCGGTGTGGAGCGGTTTCTATAATTGGTACCAACCGCTAGCAACCGCAACCGACCGCTAACAACCGCTAGGCGGGTGCTAGCGGGAGAACCAATCAAGCCCTATGTAGAAGCATCGTCTATTCAAAAAAGTTAATTACTTATTAAATAATAGTAAAACTTAGGTATTAAATCATAAATATACGAATCCTCTACATTTGAAGGGTCATCAATGTCAATCTCCTCTGATTTTTGAAAAGATCAGATAGAGATAGAGAGAGAGATATGGAATTGCTCTATCTCCTCGGTTCAATCATCTACACTTCAATCACTTCCATCTTCTTCTCTCTTCTCCTCCCGTTTCGTTTCCTTCTCCACCGTCTCCTTCCTTCACGCGCCGCCGTCGATCCTAATGTCTCCTTTTACGAAGGCACCGTCTGGCACGACCGTCTCCGTCCTGTCCGCCACTCGTTCCGTTATTCCGTTCGTTACGCACTCTTCGACCTTGATAAAGCTATTACCACGCCGCCGGATCATCTCTCCGCCGATGAAGCTCGCCGTGTTTCTCATACCACCGGGCCAATGTAAGTTTGTTGACTCGTCCGAGATCGTAAACTTCTGGATTTTGATGGCCAGATTAAATACTTTATAATGCTTAATGTTTTAAGGGACAAAAAGATTTATAAAAACGAAAATTTTCATTTCAGAAAGATTCAGTTAGTTAAATTTGCAAAATTGAGTTTTTTAGTTTCTGTTTGGTTTTATCTTATGGTTAGGTGTTTTGCTCTCAAACAGTGTAGTTGCCTTGTTTCTGTAATGAAACTCTAGGTGAATCTTTATTAGTTCAGAAATTGTAATTTTGATGAATTTTTGGTGGAGCAGATATCTATTGACAATACCACCAAGCGTTGGATATGAACAAAACCCATTGAGTTTGTATTATTGCTATGACTTGGAAGAGTCAAGTAAGCGCTTAAGTAAATGCATTGCTCAGGTATATGAAATAGATGTTTTAGTTGTTCCTCTGTTTCTTGCATATGTCTCTCAGCTTCATTGTTTCATAGTAATGAAACCTTGTGGTGCATTGGCTTTATGGTATTAGTTTCTCTCTATTGATATGATTCGAGGAATTTTGTAGGTTACAAATACGCCGTGGGGGGAACGAGTGACATTTGTATTCGACCCTGAATCTGACTTGGTTGCTAAATCGTTACAAGTCAGTCCTTTCATGGTATGTTGTTCTCTTATATTGTTATTGTCTTTGATTGATCTTTTATCAGTTTGTGTGGTTGATTAGAGGTTAAATAATCTTTTAGGATATGCTTGGGAATTGGAAAATCAGAGCTAATGAACCTGGAGATGATTTATCTGTCTCCATTGAATCGCAACATCCTCATCTCGGTAACTATTTCTCAGCGACATTAAAGGCGAAAAGGATACCCCTAATGCGGGTGTCTGATCCCGCTGTTTTCTTCTGGTTGATGCCTCATAAGGTTGCGATATGGATTTATTGGCATGTAAGTGACTTGTACTCAAAAAGTCTTCAAATACATATACTCAAAACATTGATCAACTTGACTGCTGGATTTCACACGTACTCATTTCGTTTTTTAGGCACTTAAACTCTGGTGGAAGAGTGTACCTTTCATTCAACACCCGAGATACTCAAACCCATCATACAGGGAGGAAGCAGCGAAACGCGATCAAGAACTTCGTTGCCCTAGGTTAGATGGGTCAGATTCCGATAAAACCATCAAATTTGATGGGTTAAAAGCAGATGGTTGTAGTTTTGAAGGATGTCGCTTTGCGTGGCGAGATGCTAACTGGCCTTGGTCATGAATATTGAATACATACACTCTGAAGGTAATAATCAAACTCTCTTTTCTCATTTGCCTAATTTGTGCTTTTCTCTTTCTGGAACTGTTCAGAAACCAGAATTGACACTAACCTATTTTTCACACCCAACTCTCTATTCATACCTGAAAAGACAACAAATTATGTTCTATCACATCCTGAAATATGAAAGAAACTGTTTTTACACCCATTTTTTTTGTTCTTTGCTCAATGAGTAAGATTTTGATGGCCTTTTTATATTTGTTTAGCGATGTTTTGGAATCACCAGTTTTCTCTTTTGATTTAGGGGATAGCAGATCGTCAAGAGTTCGGAATTTACGATCATTTATCCAATGGTATGATTTGTATAAATCATTGACTTGTTTAGATTTTGGATTTTAAACAAGTGAACCTTGTTGACAAATAGAAAACAAACTTTGCATTTGGATTGATTTGTTTGTAATAATTCTCATCTCCAAAAATCCTAATCTTTGTTTGTTGATAAGTTTTCGATGTGACTTGATTTCTTGCAATTTGATTTGTATTCGAATCTATTGTCTAGGGATAGCTTGATTGAGTTTGTTAGCTAGTTAAAGGGATTGAGGAATCCATTATAACCAATAACCCCATTCTTAAGAGCTTGCCTTGTTTTAATTGCTTAAATCTCGTTTCTATCTTTGGTCTGCACTTTTTAGTATATGGATGTTTTGAACCATGTATGATAGGTATACTCTTACCCTTAGGTCTAATAAATTGTGTTACTAAACTAGGTTGTGAATTTGTGATATAGTCGAACGGTGTATTGATTTTCATGTATTTTCTTTTGGGCCATCATAGAATTTAAATGGAGGCTATATATTTTGAAGATTAGTTTAAAAGAGAATTTCTTAATTATTATCCAAATAAAGTTTGTATTATTATTATTCTGAGTTTGTAGTAGTTGTTGACTTGTTGCCCTCTAAGATTTCTTAACTATAAAATGAGTTTTTGATGTAAACTTTGGATTTATTTTATTTTGCCAACAAACTTTTGACTCATTAAAAAGCAAAGTTGTCAAAATAGAATAACAATAGATGCTTTCCTTCTTTTCGCTGGACTCATAGTCCGTACAAGACTTCATCAAAGTTACACCAATGGTTTTTTTGGAAATCCCGAAAATCTATTGTTGACTGAAGCTTTGTGAAAAATAGATTCTTGGATCAGCCTTTTGACTAATTTTGTTGTTTGGTTAAACCTTTTTTTTTTCAGAGGTCTTTTCATTTTGATGTTCATAGGCTTATGCAAGAAATGATTTTTTAAATCCAATAATAATTGGGTTAAGAAAGCATAATCAAACGAATTTACAGCTTTCTTACCGATCTTTTGTTATACAAAACGAATTTTTTCTGACCAATTCATAATTTCCCTAGAAATTTGATTTTTTTTTTTTCTTTTACTATTGAAAAATCCTTTGTAGAGCAACAAAATGATCAACCCCAAACAAATGAAAGTTACATATATAATCAAACCGAAATAATGTGGGATTCATTCTGAGTCAAACCGTGCCAATTGCAAACTTTACATCAATATGTTAGACAGCTTTATGTGTCGATTGTTTGTTACTTTGTGCAACACCAACCACATGTTAAGTTCGGTCCCAAAAGAAGAGATTTTATGGTTTGACTTATTTATTTTTCAATATCGATGATTTTATTTTCTATATTGTCGGTATATCGGCACACCTAAACAGGATTTCGTCGACTACTTTTAGGCACCTAATCAAGTTAATGTGTGAAAAGTAAACGATATTTATCAAATAATAAATCAATTGAATGGTGCATGGAGAACAAACAAGGTCGTTGATTACTAGTCTCATGACACACTTTTTGCCTCATTTTTTTTTTTGTTTCTTACCGCAAAAATAAATTTAAAATGTTTGTTTTTCACGGCAAATAATTAAAAGGTAAGGGGCAAAAAAATGGTAATTATAATTTTGTCGATTTTGATAAATCACCAATACTGTTGGTTCATACGTTTAGCCAGACTATCTATGCATATTGCTGCTAATTTTGGTGTTTGACGAATGTTATAACCATAAAGATTGATTGTAATTTTATTTTGAGATGTTGTTCAAGACTGTTTCATCAAAACAATGTAGAATCGTTAAACATCTCAGCTTGCGGACTTATTTTCACTGTGAAAGTCGTCTTATGTCTAATTCATGTAACTATAAATATTGTTGTTCGTTAATCAAAAATAAATATAATTAAGATGTTGTAGAAGAATTAATTAAACACGATAAATATGGATAGGAGCAGCGAATGGAGACACAAGTAGACGTGCCTTAATGAAAATTATTCACATTGACTCAAATGAGTTAGGTACACGAAAAGGCTTGGAAGCCTATTTTATATGAAAAAAAATAATATAGAAGAAGAAATACAAATTGCAACTTGGAAGATGGAACGTTACTTTCGGCTCAGATGTTTACATTTAACTAGTAATAAGGTATTACACACGTTTATTAACCAATTATCTTAATTCGAATCACATCATTAAATCAAAGTTGTGTAAAACACTTTTAACATATCCACAATTATGTCAAAATCACCGCCAAGAACTTAATTAATGCGTGAGCAATGATCAGATATACATACTAATAGATACGCCGCCTGATATATATCAGAAAAGATACATGCATTACGGTGGCGGATTACTTCGCAGCCCACAACTTTGACAAATAGAAAATAGGTCTCACACCAGGGGCGGATCTAAAGAGGGGAAAGGTGGGGCACGTGCCCCATACTAATATTTTAAAACTATATGTTTGTGTATCTCCTCTAAGTGTTTGTTAGTTCAGTGGCATTTGGTTCCATAGTAGTTGAAGGTGACAAGTTCGATGATTACAATCACATTTTGCTTTTTCATTTCTTTTTCCACGTTTTCACTTTGCTTCTTACACATATTTCCTTGTTTTTTTTTTAATTCTTGACTTCTTTCATGTTTTTTTATTGGTTTTATTTTACATTTTTTACTTTCTTTTATTTATATATCAAAAGATATTGATTCTTTTGTATTTTTTTTATAGAAAATTAGTTTTTAGTCATTAATGTAACCAGTATAATCTACATTCTGAAATATTAAATAAAAATTATATTTAGTAAAAAAAAATTCATTATACATTTTTATATGATAAAATCAATGAACATGATATTTTTTATATGAAAAATTCGATTTTTAGATTTTCAAAAACTCATACTTGATATGTGCCCCATATTGATATTTTTTCTGGATCCGCGTGTGAGACTCACACTATACCGATTAATTAGTGAGTGATTAAATCCTACAAATAAATAAGTCATTCAGAAGGACTGAAATATGTATTAAATATTCAATGAAAAAAAAAAAGAGAGAATGGAAAATGTGCGAAATGCCTCCAATACCGCCGTAGAAATTTAGGATAAGTATTAAAAAAAAAAAAAAAAAAAAAACAAAACAAAACTGAATCTTGTCACTATTTTAGTCTCTTAAAAAAAATCCAAAACCTTAAAGTTGTACAAATATAAAATAGAAAAAGCATTTTCCACGTGAGTGAATTAAAACAAGTTGTGTTCTGTTTGTCTGTCCTAAGAGTCCGCCGTTATTAAACTCGTGTTCTGTTTCCACCGTCTCTCCCGTGTCCTCTCTCTCTCCTCCTCACACATATAAATAAAGATCAACATAATCTCTCAATCCAGATACAATAGCATCATCATCAATTCTTCTTAGAACCTCAAAATGCAGAAAACTTGCGACTTGGAACTTCGTCTTTTTCCCACTTCTTATGATTGTGATTCTTCAGATACAACCTCGTAAGTATCCCTCTCTTGAAATTTGATTAATGTGAAAAATCAGAATTTATTTATTACACGAATCTGATAAACTTTAATTGATTTGTAGTGTCGTAGAATCAACCAGCTCTGGAAATTTACAACCAAAGGAAGAATCTCAAAGAATGACAATTTTCTACAACGGAAAAATGTGTTTTTCTTCAGATGTTACACATCTTCAGGTATGTAACACATTCATATATGTGATTATATATCTTTTAATGAAACGAATCAGTGAATTTTATTTTTCGGTGGATGTATGAATTAACAATGTTTAATGTATGAATATGCAGGCAAAATCGATAATATCGATCGCGAACAGAGAAATGGAAAAGAAGTCATCCTCAAACGGGTCGGATCCTCCAAACAAGTCGACACCATTTCATCATAATCAGCTTCCAAATCCAAAGGCATCAATGAAAAAATCTCTCCAAAGCTTTCTTCAGAAACGGAAAAGTCGAATTCAAGCTACTTCACCTTACCATCAGCATCCACGACGATAATAATTATTTTATTTTATTTTAGTAGGTTTTGTTTGTTTGATATTAATCCAAATGGACTATAGCTGTAGTGTTTTTTCTTTTTTACTGATTAGGGAATTACTCCTATATAGTATTTGATTCATCCGAAGATCGATTTTGAATCTGACTTTTTGTTCGTATATTTTTGTTAATTCTCAATCAAAATCTATACTAATAGATAACAAAATTTGCATATATTAACAAAACATACGATTCGGGCGAAGCATGAGTTATCAATCTAGTATATACATTAAACTAAACCAACGTTCTTATTTATATAAAGTACGCAAAATAGTACGAACTAGGTTTTGTAGTTATGAGTTTAATTATTGTTTAAGTTCTTGATTATACACGTCAATTTATGAAAAAATTAGTCGAATGTTAAAAAATACTCTAATTTCTGCTTACAAATTGTGTACTATATTGATCAAATAAAAAAATGTGTCTTGTGTAATTGTAAATTTAATGAACGGATGATTTTTGGTTCGGGACGTGTAAAGTGTAAACCATGACTATTAATTTCTTTCTCTCACTTGGTGTTTGCGCTTCCAAGTTCCAACGGTGACTGAGCAACGGATACACCTTAGTGATTTTCGAAGGAGACTGTGACGTGTTGATAAAGATGGTCAATAATTCGGATCATGACATCTCTCAGGTATACGGATTTGCCAAGATATCATCTAGACATCTACTGGTCGAAGAAACTCCAAGATGTTCAATTCCTTTTCACGGAACGTTGTAATAATTCAGCTGCTCATTGCTTAGCAAAATTTGGTTGTTCAAATTCATCCTTTTATTCGGATAATGTTAAAACCTCCCCCATGGCTACGCCATCATTCGTATCTCTTTGACAATCTTTAAAAGCAATAAAGGTTCATTTTCGACGAATAAAAAAAAAACTTAAGTGTATACTTCCTCTCTTGTCCTCAAAACTACTCTGGCAAAATGTAAGACTCTATAAGTCTTACTCATAGGCACTTGTCACCTTGCATTGAAATTGAATATCTTTTAACAAAAACAAAATATCATATAACAACATCGGCATATTTTCACCTTTAAAAAACCATATACGGAGTGTATAGTCATTTATTAATGAGTATCTACACTCCGTGCCTATAGAGGATTGCATAATTAACTGACATAATTCTGCTTTATTTAACAGTCTACAGTCGCATTTCTTAGACCATTAAACCCCTACGAATCTATTGTCGTTTCAGAGAGAGAAAATAGGGCTGAGAGTTTGTGTGTGTCAGAGTGTAGATATGTGATCTTTGGGAAGATTGTATTTTCAAGATTTTTTGGAAAGGAACGAAGGTAATAATTATTCAGTCTATATCTCTATTTCATTAGCTTGTAGCTAATCTTCTACTCCCTCCGTTTTCGAATAGTTGTCGTTTTAGAGAAATTTTTTTGTTTTTAATTAGTTGTCGTTTTCAGTTTTCGATGCACAATTTATTACTTTTTTATTTTTTATATTTATTTTTACTATGCAACTTGATTTACTATTGGTTAAATTATGTTTAGATAGATAATTAATGATATTTTTATATTGAAAAACTAACAACATTAATAGTTTCTTAATTTGTGTGTATATAGTTAAAACGACAACTATTCGAAAACGGAGGGAGTATAGTATTTCTCGGTAACCGTTTTTCCTTTTTTCTAATTAAGTTACCATTTTTCTTAAAACGGCTAAATTATTGCAATTTTTGTTTCTTTTTGTATTCGTTAACTAAATTTTTACCGTCTTCTAATTATTTCATATTTTCCCATTTGACCCAATTGTTTTTTTTAGTTTTACACAAGGGCTTCGTTAACTGAATTATTACCGTCATCTAACTATTTCTTTTCGTATACGTTACCTGAATTATTGCAATATTCACTGTTTATGTTACTATCTAATATTCCTTATTTTAAGGTTCTTATATGTTATTCGCTAATGTAATCATTTGCATGTCATTTTTCCTCTTATGTTACCATTGTAGTTATGCTTTGCGTACGTTACCCGATAACTGTACCCGTATTCTGGGTAACAATTTCAGCTATACATTTATTCCCCCAGTTGTTTGTATCCTATATTTACATTTATTTTTCCAGTTATTTGTACCCGATAACTAAATGTTTTTGTTACCTATTATACTATTGGTAACCACTGTTGTGGTTTTTTTTATTCTATTTTAAACAAAATCTTATTCTATTTCGCATTTCTATCTTATCCATCTATTTTCTTGTTTCGCATCGCGTTAGTCTCTAACGAATTGTTTAATTGATAACGTTGTTATCCTAACTGTTTTATTATAATATGCCTTTTGTTTATTGCTTATGTTACCATCTAATATATCTTATTTTAAGTTTCCTATACTTTTAGTCGTTAACGTAATCATTACCATGTCAATTTTCCTCTTATGTTACCATCTTATTCATCTGTTCCCATGTTTCGTATCGCGTTAGTAGCTAACCAATTGTTTAACTAATAACGTTGTTATCCTAACAATTTTATAATAATATGCCTTTCCTTCTTGTTTTAACCTTTTGTCAGCGTCTTATCTAAGTATTTCCAGATGTCTTATTTAAGTATTTTGTTCATTTCTAATAATTTTTTAACACCCTAATAATCATGAACATCTATAATTTACCTGAATTTTAAGTGTTTTCATAGGGGAGTCTTTTCATGTTAATTAAATACTTATTGGGCTAATATTATTTCCTACTTTCCCATTTGCCCCCTTTGGTTTTTGTTTGTTTTCAGTACGGGATTCGATATTCATTGTTTATGTTGTCATCTAATATACCTTGTTTAAAGTTTCCTATAGTTTTAGTCGTTAACGTACTCATTAGCATGTCATTTTCCCTCTTATGTTACCATCTTATCCATCTGTTTTCTTGTTTCGCATCGCGTTAGTAGCTAACCAATTGTTTAATTGATAACGTTGTTATCCTAACTGTTTCATAATATTATGTCTTCGGTTCTCGTTTTAATCTTTTGTCAGCGTCTTATTTCTGCGTCTATAATTACCTGTTAACAGACATATTACCAACTCGTTTATTTCTGCTATAATGATTTTGTTCTGGTAAATCTTTCTTTTCCCATGCCGCCGGCGTAATCTAACGTAATATTTGTTGCAGATTTTGTCTCGCATTAAATGCTGAGATTCACCAAATAAAATCTCGTCTTTATCACATTATAGGGGTGTTATCGTCTTTCATCCTCAACGCATAACCTACATAATTAATTATCTCTTTATTGCTCCCAAATCTTGCATTATCTCATCTTCTGTGGTTTTATATTTTATTGACCCTTTATTAATTTAGTCAACAAAAATTTGTGTGCTAAAACGGAAGAAGTAGAGATGGACAATAACCAATCTGATATTATTGACTATTGTTACAGAATATAGTTTAGAGAAAACTAAGGAAGAACATAAATGTGGAGTTGGAATCTGCCAAGTGGCTAAGATTTCAAAACATAAATGTCCACTGGTAACTCCCAAGGGGGGTAGTTATGGGTTTGAGTCGTCTTGGCCACCTAACCGCACTTTAAATTTGGAATATTTTAAAACGCATATCCGAATGCAAGGCCTCGTGGGATTAGTTTTTGAACCTAGAAAGCCTTTGGAATTTCCACGGTTAACAAAACAAAAAAAGTAGCGATCTTGGCTCGGCAGATTCCAATGCCCTACGATTCATTAATACAGTGTCTAAGATTTCAAAAACAAAAAAAAATCACCAAAAATGAAAAGATCAAATAAAGCTTGGTACCCACACCAACTGCTCTCTTAAATCTTTTCTCCAAAGTGGATGTTGAGTTACGACCATAAAACAACATCTTCTCTCAACACAACATAGTCCACACCAGACACTACATGTTTTATAGTCGTAGTTCAACCTTTGTTGATAGTATTCTTCTCTTCTTTTGTTGCCAAAGCATGGGAATCGAAAGTATCAACATTATGAGAGCAGTAAGAGTTGCTAATTTATCCATTTTTCGTAACACTGTAAACCAAATGGTTGAAGAGAAGCTATTTGTCCTGGGTGAATGCATGGTACTTGCTGTTGCTTTGAGACCAGGCCTGGTCCACAACAAAAGCTATCCAAACAATGGTTTTGGACATCCAAATAGATGGGCGTATTTTAGGAAAAACATTTTAGGCATTATATGTAAAACACACAAAACTTTATTGGTTTTGTTATTAAATTATTTTTTTGTTAGGTTTTTCTTTTACCATATTTCATAGGTTTTAAACTTTTAAGTTAACAAAATATTAACTAAGATGGTTTTTAATGATTTTTTTAGTTAAATTTTGGTTAAGATAAAAAACCTAAACGAAAACAATGAGTGTAAAATTATATTCATTAAAGAAAATATTTGTACAAAATTTTCTCTTTGATTGATTTTATTGTTATTTCTTCTTCTATTTGTTTGCTAAAGTACGTGACTTTGATTACAAAACGAAGACTTTTCTTTGAAGAATAGAATTGAAAGAAATAATTTGATTTTGACTATTTTATTTTCTTACAAACTGCTTATGGGTTTAAAAGCTGTTTTATCAAGTTTTAGTATAAATTTTTTTTTTTCATATTACTATATTATTTGTAATCTTGCAAAAAAAGATATATGGGACTCTTGAGAGACGTAGTTACAATGATGTTGTTACACAACAATTGGATACATGCTCAGTTCACTCACGAGGTTCTTACTCCCATGCCTCCTCCTCCAAAAGGTGTAAAGATGCAGTCTGCGGTTCTTAGACGTACCAAGTACATGGTTGTAAAAGCCAGTGCAAAGATAAGAGCCTATAGAGAGTTTCTTGAGACACACGAAGAAGAATCTGATATGGAGGGTTAATTAATGGTGGCTGAACATCAACGCCCTATTTTCACCGACTTTCCTCCTCCGAGCAGCAGCAACGGCGACAAGAATGCTGGCGAGAAAGGGAAAGGAAAAGGAAAGACGTGAAGACAACAAGAAGCACTGGATGAAGTGATTTGATCTCTAGCTTTATTTTATTGTTTTATCTTAAACTCTATCCTAAGCTTCTTTAACTCATGTAGTTTTAGCTTAATATTTATGTCGCCTAGTATCTGTTGTGTGTTAGTTTGAAATGACTATTTTAGTTATTAGTAATTGTTATCTTGAGAATA